TTTTTTGCACCGTCAGATTTTTGACGATTTATTTTCGAAAATGGCGTTAAGATGGTCCTTCTTTTCTCATTTGTATCTTTGGAGTTCTTTGTTGGAAACGCGGCGAAGATGTTTTTAGAAAGTAAACAACTTTTTTTTTCTAATGAGATTTTTTGTAAGCAAACATGTTTACACAGGGAACATCTACGAATTTTTTAAAAATTCAAGCGACATTATTTTCGGTTCAGCCTGATATTTCCAAAGACACTTACATTAGCGAATGAATAAAGGTTGGTGTCAACGTATTTGTTGTCTGGATCAGTGTTACCGTACTGACGAACAGCACTCCACCATTTGTTGACTGCGGCAGCAACGGCGGTCAATGGATTCGAAAATGTTCCAGTATATCTAAAAGGAAACTTGCATTCATATAAAAACAAACTGGCTTTTTCCTATACGGCTCAGACATACTTTATTATGTTCTGTGAATATGAAGTAAATATTCCCATTGTGGATGGGCAGAGGGCGATAGCATTTTGTGCTTGCTTTTCAAGATCACAATCCCATTCCTGAGAAGAAATATATAGTTTATTGCACATCTTGAATATGTTTATTACCAGCTTGTACATATTCTTGGCAGGACCAAGGAATCCACATTTGTTTGGTTCCAGTCCTTTGGCAACGCTTAGACGAGCCTCGTTGTGTGCATTGAGGAAGAGAAGCCTTGCTGCGTCTGTCATTCCCGAATTGGAGCAGCTGAAGGCTGAAATTGTTACAGATTTATTATCTTCCTTTATAAAAGTCGAAAGAGGGAAAGAGTAGATCAAAGCAATTCCGAGAAAATGAAATGTTTGAGAACCTTGACGCTTCCTTCGGGACACGGTTGTGGAAGCCAGTGGCACCACAGCCATCTGTAATGAAATTACTATATTTTACCATAACTTATCCTGATTCTTGCAAAATTTGGATAAATTCTGACTAACCAGACAAAACGCTACCAAGTACAGTAGCATGCCGGAAGCTCACTAATGTGAGTGGCCCGGTCCGAGCAGGTTTTATTCCCCAAGCTACATGGCCATTTTTTGTTCAGCTGCCTTTTTCACGGGGCACGCTAGCTACGAACGAAGCACGTGTTGCTCGTTGAACTCGAAATGTTTCACGGTTCAAATGTTCAGCGATCAAAATTTTATAGCCATTTGGAAGATTGAAGATTGCACTTGTAGAGTGAACTGTAGATTCTCAAAATAGAGTTCAACTTTAGGGAACTAATATTGTGGCATTTTAACCGGTTATGTAGTAAGAAGAGAGATTACCCTAAAGTTTGGCATACAGGACCCCTCCACAGATAAATTTCGATAGATAAGTCCGCTACTGAGGTCTCTTTGCAGTTGAATGCCAGATTTTAGGGTAGTACTACCTGACGAGGGTTCATATGGCTCAAACAATCAGACCATCAAAGAATGCCAGATTAGAATAGTTTGAAGTTTGTGCATAAACCTCTGAGAAAAGAATTCCGTTTTCCATATCCTTTCTTCCCATGCAAGTAGACTGCA